CCAACACTTCTATTCTGTACCTTCTCATTTCAGCGGCTATCTGGGCAGCCTTTCCAGTTTCGTACATTGTACGAACATTCCAGGTACCCATCCTTACTTTTGCTTTCATCGAAAGAAGGCACATCGGCTGACTGGCTTCCCGAAGGCTTTCACCAGCCTGCGTCATTTCACTTCCCCGATTCCAGCGAAAAGTAAGGCTATTGCTTATGTTTTTAGAATTTTTAATATATTTATTCGTTGAAGTTTCTGTAGCGATTTGGTTGTTTTACAGGGGTGGAGTTGCTAGCACCACGCCCCAACCCTCCCTCTTTACCCGGGCTTGGGACCGGCGAGAAAACTAGTAAGCTAGTAGCCTAGCAAGCTAGTATCTGGCGAGGTTCTAAACATTACTCAAGTCTTCATTACTGACCAACTTCACATAGACCCAGCTTGGTATCTTAGCTAAAATCCTACAATGAAACTTTTGCAAGCATTCATTTTCAAATCACTGAGTTTGACTTATATCAAGAGAGGCCTTTTATTCTGCTCAAGCGACATTATTTAATATTCAGAGTGTTACTTAAATAGTGAAACATTTAAATTAATAATACATTATCCTATAAATGTCCCATAGCTAGAGATATCATCATAATGACTTATCAGTCTTAGTGAATTTAAACACACTTGACAGCAATTCTGGTAGATATTTATCTTTTCGTGTAAGATAGATATGGACATGACACATTAGTTTATGCACAGATTTTTCTGGTGGTATGATATTCCACTCCTAAAAAGGTACATGATGAGAACATCCAGGACTAGGTATCACAAAAAATAAAAATAATTGTTGTCTAAATTTAATCATTCTGTAAGCATAGTGACCAAATCATTTCCCAACGATGAAAGATATAATTGTGTTATTGATATACAGATAATGTCTGTCTTCTTGGATCAGGCTTAAAAGTAAAGTAGCTCACCAAAGATAACCATTACCAGTTTAACGGTCAAAAGGTTGATGTATTTCATTTTAATGTATGGTTGGATGCATCCACAAGTGTGATGTTATGATCACTAAGACATGAATGTAAGGCTTGAACCACAAGTCTCATAATCTGATTTTCATTACACCTTTCGTTTTCCTTCCAACTTCGAATATCACCACATTATATAGAAAACGGTCTATCAGTCTTAGGTTGCCTCTGACACATTCAACGACACATATTCAATTAATGATCTGATATCGAGATACAGATCTCAACAATGATGTATTAACAATTTTGATTAAACTGAAGGTGCTCTATTTTCACATATAAAATGGGATAAAATGTTTACTTCTTAAAGTGTTTTCCCTTTTTTTCCTTTTACATTGATTGAAGAGTTGTCATAGGACTTTTAGTATCCATGGTTTACCTGACTATTTGTGCCTCATTGTAGAGCTTCTGAGAATACTATGTGAATGATACTTAGATATCTATCATTCCTTACTTGTGTAATTATATTCCTTATGTTATAATTAGGGTTTTTAAAGTTGGCCTACAAAGAAATTAACTGTACACTGACAAAAAGTTTTGAATTTGTGATGATTCAACAAATCATGGAAATCTATAGGTTGTGTATTGTGGTTTTTATAATATTATATTTAAGACCCTAAAGTTATCTTGGACATTAACAATATTATGAGGGCGTAGTCATTTGATAAAATCAAACAAGTTCGTACAATCACCAGCTGTTAATCCTTACTATATGAACAAAAATTATTTCTGCAAGGGATTACACTTAAAACAAAAAATCTAAATCCTGTATATTTTATATTAGCTAAGAATGTGTATTCTCATCATCCAGTTTAATGTGCATCAACACTTATTAATCTTATCTCTCTGTGCAGTTAGAAAATGTAACAATTTGAATATCACTTTATCACGGTGCATTCAAAGTGAATAATAATTCATTGTTTTTAACAGTTATGAAAAACTACTACTTTCAACTTAACAAGGAAATAACATTTAGATTTCAAAATTCACATACTTCACTGTGATATATATATATATATATATATATATATATATATCGATGCATAATTTTGTTGAATATTTAATCAGAAAGTTAATAGTTTATTATCTTACTGTTAATTTTCTTATAAAAAGTAAAAGGCAAGGAGAAAAACAGACTTCCACTTTGATTGTTCATGTTGTTCGGATAAGGTAGATAGGTTTTCGTAATTTACTTTTGCTTTTATTGACTTTTCATTCTGTTTACTCAAACAGTTCTACTTCCACTTCAACTTGACTGATAATGTGCTAACTGACTGTGTGAGCATCACTTATAAATATTCAGGCTTACGGAGGAACAAAAGTATACAGCAATAATACAGTATTCAAACCTAACTTTTCTACAAATGTATATATCCCTATATGTTTGCAGTTCACTTACACTAATGATAAACCTTTTAAAATGAAAGACATTTCGTGTAAAAAAGATAATTACTATACTTATTGAATATTTGTAATAACCAATTTGTTTTATATTTCCAAGTTCATTCACCTAGCCACACAGAAAACTTTTCATACTTTTTAGTTATTTATTCAACCTAAACCACTGATTTTATGACTCGGTTTGCAAAAACTAACTCTTGAGTTTATACCCTGTCCAACTCAATTTATCAGGTAAACTAATCACTGTTATAAGCCTTCACCGACATGGTATGAATCTTAGACTGATGTGTAAAAATACCTGTAACAGGTAACGTGGTTGTAATTTTCATTACTGTGTGTACCTTCCGAGATCTGTTTGTCGTAATGGTGAAATTATACCAAACAACCTACTTCAGTTTATTTGTATTACTTAGTTAACTGACACTACTATTTCGTTTAGTGAGTGGGTTTAAAGGTTGTTAATCTATATCATTACTCACTAAGCTTTTGCTTCTGTATATATGTATATATATATAAATCTTATTCCCAATTGATGACGTCAGTTCACTGCAAGACAAAACTCGCCAAAGAGAGACATCTTATACGAAATAGTCAGAAATCAATCACTTATGACTGCTGACAGCCAAAAGTCTTAAACTAGGACAGAATAGTGTTACTTTACAAAGTTTTAATGATTTTTCAGATGTTATTGGCTCATAACAAAGTTTACTTAGAAAGCAATCAAATTTCTACAAACCAAACAGCTGAAAAAGTTTACAAATTCTGAATGTATCACAAGTTCGTTATATAACCTGCCAAAATGTTACTTATTAGTCAAAGAAAGAAAATTAACAACACATAACAATCAAATAGAAAATTGCTGTATATAAAAAATGATAATAACAAACAACAAAGTTCAATAATTCAAATGAAACATTTCTTGGTTATTTAAAGAACTTATCAAATTTATGACTTTTCTCGTGTTTAAGAAAATACGATTTTCTAGAAATAGAAATAGGCGGTGACAGAGAAGAAAATCATCTTGTTTTTGTTATAAGTATTTAATTTTTTGTACTAACTAAGTACCTTCATGATTTTCGCGTTCTTTATAGACTAATACATTTGTTATTAATGTGAATACTATACACACTAGCCGATGTACTTGATCATTTATTGTTACTGAGACAATTGTGTACATTTAATTTGAAATTTGACATTAAACAGACTCAACAACACTTAATTCTTACAATTATTTCAGCTACGGCAAACCCTGATGATGGTAGTTTTAACTATGATTACAATCATGCTAATAAAACATGGTAAATTACCGTTATAAAATCGGCTGAAAGTAAATAAAATGACCAAACCTCCGAAGAACTTGAGTTACCTGTTAATTAATCATTTTTCAGGTTGTCATATAACCTTACAAATTTCACACCATTATACTTTACAAAACACACTAAAAGGGAACACAAGGGGGATTTTCATATGATGAAGTAACTCAGACATAAGACAGTAGGGAACAATATGTAAATAAATTGTTCTGTTGCACACTAACAACTTTTTTATTGTTTAGGTCTCAGTACTTAAATCCTAAAGTCCTAAAGTTAGATGCATGACTTATTGCAGTAATCCTAGTCTTCACAGACTGCTGCTGCCTTGACTTTACAGCTTTATGTCACTTGATTCATTTACGAGTTGAGGTGACCAAGTAATGCGGATGATTAGATACTTTTATAGTTTGAATATTTAAGCTCTAACCACCTCCTCCTTCGTTGGGCTTTTGTAACAGTTTAACTGCTTCCTAGCATCTGTAGAGGTTATCGCATGCACATGTACTTTTTACACTAAACTATTTATTCTGAGTCATCGATATCTAAGAAACTATTATGAAGCCAGTGAGTATGAGGTGGCCGAAACACTAGAAAATAGTATGTGGTTGATTGATCAACTGTTTTCACTCACCTATGGTGTAACTGCACACGGTGAAAAAAGTAACAGCAAATTTTGAGAACAGTGAGCCTTTATTGACAAACACTTAGTCAGGATTTGTTGTCATCTTGATTGTAATTCATCTCCTAAGTTCGCTTTACTAATGATTGCTAGAGTTCCAGTAGGTGCAACAAACGTTTTGATATTCCGAAAAATAGCTCGACTTGTTAGCTGGAGATTCAAGTGACTGAATATTCAAATAAATAAAGGATCAGTAAATGAACAGGTTTTTCTCAATAACACGACAAATCATTTTAACTTCTTTAGCTTACCTTTGGTAAGTGATCAGGAAAGCAAGTTTGAAAAACACGAAAGGTTTAACCGTTAAGGTGTAATTTGTCACAGTTTAAATCATTGTTGTTACTGAGAATAAACATAGTAAAAACATGTTTTTTTTGTCATTAACACTTGTTATTTCAAGAGAGAGAAAAGATGTCGCAGTTTTATTTCAAGACAATTTTACCACTAAACAATGAAATTTGTCAACATTTTAGGCAAAATTAAGAAAAAAAACATTATTTTTGTACTCCGCTTCATTCGTTTATTTTGATAAGGTGAGGTTTCTATATTATTTGTTGTAAATATTGTTACCTTCCTTTATGTTCCTTACTAAAATAGAAAATTAATCAGGCGAAATTCAAGTTATATCTTTTGGTTGTTTCAAAACAAACACATTTGTAGCCATAGACACACCCATACACACACGTTTCATCATTTCAAAGCAATATAAGCAGATAGTTCAGATTGATTTAATGAAAGCTGGAGTGTCTATCTACTTGACGTTTTAAACTTTTATGGAATATAAAACATAAACATGCTTGTATCAAATGGTTTGTGCAAGTTCAAGAGACCGGAAAAAATCAAGGGTAAGTCTGTTGGTAATGAAATCAGGGTGATATGATTTGATTTTTTAGAAGTTTTTCTGGGCTGGTGTTAGTTTAGGGTGTATTTTCGGTGAATGTGATGTGTCTTTTCAATATTATGGTGTACTATTTATAGTGTCATAAATACAGTTTTACCAAGTGTCCTGCACATTTACGATTGGCCATATTCAGGCGTTGATGGTAACATGGTTAAATACTTTGCCCTATTATTTGTTTGAGAAAACAGCACAAAGTTTAGAAATCTTACGAACAAACAAACAAACAATAACATTCTCTAGTTGATTTATTTCGATCTGCATTTACAAATGCAAATACGTGATGGCCATATTCTACATGCCTTCAGTTCATTTTTCGCAATGGTAAAAAGTGTTGAACAGAATAATCACAGAAACGGTAATTATAAGCTAAAATAATAAAAATTAGATTGGTCAGCTGATTGAGAGAAACTGAAGCATACGCTCTAATTTACCGTTGAAGTTATTAGGATTTAGTTGCATCTAAAGTAGATTTCATCACGAAAGCAGAAAACCATTGCAAAGTCAAGAGCGCTAAACTTCTTCGTCGTCTTATATCTAATTATAGTTGAAAGACATATCTGGTTACCACTAGATGCATTCATAAACATCAACCTTTTACAGTGCAAGCTGGTGTTTTGTTAAATCTTGTGCCATGGAACATAAAGTCTAATCGAATGCAAAGAGTTTGGTCAGTAATATGCAGAAATGAGTGAAAAAACAAAAGCAATGCAAATTGAGCTTTTTAATTACAATACATTGATTCGGTAGTATTAATGAGAACATGAAAAAATATGATTATTTGGAAAATATCTTTACTTGTTCTGAATAATGTTGATTTGATGTATTTTAGTTAAAACAAATGTGATCTATCAATAATAATAATAAATCAATGTAACAGGAACAAAGTCCTGTTCTCAGTGTATGGGGAAAGTTATATTTTACTTAGGTCTGCGGAAATACATTAAGTAATAGACTTTTAAAATCACAACAGCAGACACTCACAATGTAAGTATTGTTAAAATAAATTTAACATCAGGGATATATAACAGTATGACAATTTCAGTAGATAATTTTTAAAACTGTAGGATTTCGTTCATCAATTCTCCTTTATATTTCCAGATCCATCAGACAAAACTACTTTATTATATTCTGACTGATTGATTGATGAACTAACAACGATGTTTCCAGTCTTTAATTGTCAGTGGTAATCAATTAACTTATTCCTAAGTAAAATGAAGTCAGTCATTATTAGAAATTTTTTTGACTAGTTCGTGGATGATACAGGAAATCAGCTAAAACGATATACGCAAAATGTGGCTTGAAATAATATCACACTGAAATGCCACTTTTTAAAGTAGAATAGAAAGATGATGTAAGCAGAAATAAATGTGTGTGTATTGAAATGAAGTTATCGTAAGAGTCATTTAATGCTCACAAAATCAAAGAAAAATAATAAATTCATTTCCGTCATTGCTACGGATTTCAGGCAGTTTTATGAAGCTCTATGAACATTCGTTATTTTCTTGGTATTGAGAAGTTTTCTGCAAAATCAGGCTACTACTGAGACTTCCTGTATTTAATAGTTATTCAGATAGCTATGCAAAGAGCGGCAAGAGTAGCAGAAATGTTTCGTTTTATTGATACATAAATGTCCATTGATTCATTGTGTCACATTCGAACCCCGGTGGGTGCGTACTGACAAAAAGTCCCAAACTGGGACGAAACAGCTGTTCAGGTTTTCCGGTAGTTTTCTAACTGATATCAGCTCATGATGAAATCCTCCATGCAATCAATCAAAATCCCTGCAAAAACCATCACTCTGAATAAGCACAGAAAATAGGAGAACGGAGAAAAATGATGCTGCGATTGAAAAAGCTAAATCTGAAGAAGAGAATAAATCATAGGAAGCGCATTCATCTATATCATTTTTAACGGTCTATAGAGACTTCAGCAGTAGTCTCCTGTGATCAGAGGTATCCAGTATTTTCACATTCATTTTCCTGATACGTCAAGTTTCAGAACAGTAAACTAGAGAAATCCATTTATTGAGTAGCGCACACAGCTTTCTGGTGGATAAAGGGATACTATGCTTGCACCACTGGCAGTACAAGTTGTCTCATTCCAAGCGTATGTTTTGTGTATGTTCTGAGTTTTCAACAACTATAAGTCTGTTAGAGGTGATGCAGGTAATTTCTCATTCTACATTCGGACTACGATTCACTAACAAACATTAGGATTAATTTAAAAGAGGAAGATTATGTTCCGAATGTAGTCCAAATTTTGATCGTAATGTCCAAAATGACTTTATTTTGTCACTATTTTCGAGCTGAACAGTCTTGCTGATTGTTGACTGTGACTCAAAAATACACTTTGTGGTAGCCGTTTAGTTTCTGAAAGGAGGTGATGAAATCCAGTTACATAAATTAGTATGCGTTTAATAAAATAAGAGCTACGTCTTTCAACAAATTGTTTGCTTCAGTCGACAACCCTACCCAGTCTCTGACAAGACTGAATGAGTTTATATATAATGCCTTGATTAGCAAAACAAACTTCTTCAGAACAATGATTCAATTCATAGTGGGGGTTTCTAGCTTCAGTTGAAGAAATATTACACCTAGCACAATCAGGCATATATCTGTGTTCCGAGTCGTGTTGATGGCCGATGATCTGATAGAGACACACTGTCCTGGGCTTGGAACAAAAGTTAATCTTATTCAAAGAGTAAAGCTGAAAAACGATTTGAATACAGTAATAGTATAGTCTGAAGAAATATACTATTAGTACTATTCAGTTATTTTTGTTGAGGGATATGGTTGAGAATGGAAATTAATTGTTGTTTTAATCACTCAAACTAAACACAAAGCAATTAAAGTTTAAGTGAAATCTATATACTGCAATATTTTTATGAGGTGTGCTTTCAGCAAAATTTAAACTTCATGAATACATCTTCACAATGTTTAAAACAGAAATTATTGTGACTTGATAATTTTATGCAGTCATTTTCTTTGAGTACTTATTATTACCAGGCAGTTGGGAAGATTCTTGAAAGAACCACCTCTGTTTTGAATATTTCAAAATAAAACGGTTCATTCAGTGAAAATTTCTCAGCCGATCTTTTCTCATGCAACCAAGCAAACTAAATAATACCGGTTTTAAGCAGATTAGCTTGTCAACCGTTAGTACTTAAATCTGCCTTGAAATGACTAGGTTTTATGCATATTAGTTTTGAGAAATACAAGAAACTTGCCAGTAATCGATGCAACCAATTTAAAGTAAAGTAAACAACCAACTATTTATCTTATCAGTAAGTACGTAGATCACGCTTATAAGTTTTTCTGAATAAAGACAAATTGATGCCTAGAGTAGGCTAAGTGATAAAAGAAATGAAAACATTGAGACTTAAGTTAAAAATCAATTTACATATATATATATATATATATATATAATGGATAGGTAATTTTCACCATCATTCGACACTTTCCACCTAAAAATGTAGCATTTCTTATGTACGAAGTCTTCACTATTCAACATTTTTAACCAGTCACTGATGTAAGAATCGGAGAGAATCAGGAAGCCGTAATATCTCATCAGTGTTTTTCTGATGCACATACTGTTTAAAAATTCTGTATGATAGCATAGTGGAAAGCAGATTGTTTGTATTTCGTATGGCACATCAACATATACTGATATTTTGTCCATATGACTATTTTATTTGTATTAAGGGCCTTGAGGAAAGTGGTTCATTCCCTTTTACGTTATTTTGGCTACTTCAAAAAAATACCTGTAGGCTTTAACTTCAATCTTCCGAGAACCCAATGCTATCAGAAGGATGATGTATGTAGTAAAAATTACTAGTATCTCGTACTAGATAGCTACAGATGTATTCTTGGTAAATGCAGCTTTTCACATTCATCAGTATTTATGATACAGTAACCTTTTAGTTTACTTTTACACCTTATATTTTGATTTTACCTTCAACAAGTGTTTATGTGTTAGTTAGATTACAGGCAAGATAGGCACTAATTGGACACATAAATCAACGTAAAAGTAAACACTGTTGTACGTAAATTATGCATATATATATATATATATATATAACTATAAGCGGATATTTATTCATGTTGTTGGCAGTATTTGATGTGCACAGAACATGGAATCAATTTACAAAGGTATTATTTGTGAATCTGAGCCGTACAGATTGCAGTAGAGTACCTTGATCATGTACTCAGAATGCTTTCTCTCTTTCCTAGCTGTTTTCCTGAGTTCTGAACTTTTTCTCACAAGACGTTGAATAACTTCCTTGGGCTAAAGGATATATACTTACAAATTAATTGAAATTAAACTGGGAGTACTGGGCAGCTGTTTCGTCCTAGTTTGGGACTCTTCAGCAGTACGCACCCGCCGGGATTCGAACCAAGGACCTTCCGGTTACAAGGCAAGCTCGTATACCATTAAGCCACTGGGACCCGATCCAATGGTCCTTGAATTCTAACTTCTGCCAATTCACGACATAGCGCAACCGCTAGCCAATGTCTCCGGCGAGTATTTGTCCTCACACCCGACCGGCTGCACCCTACTGGTCACGACTTCCCACTGGAACCCAGGTAACTACCTACCTGAATAGGGCCAGTCACCAGTGAGCATTTCATTGGTATTCAAGTGATGGTTTGTAGGGATTTGATTGGTTTCAGGATTTCATCATGACTGACTAATGTCAGCTCATGATGAAATCCTGAAACCAATCAAATCCCTACAAACCATCACTTGAAATTAAACTGTTGGTGATCCATTCTATCAAATATATTGCATTATTTGGCTAATTTATCATAAATCCTTACTGATGAAAAGTCTCCCTCAAATTTTCTCACATCCCCATAATTTATTGAGTATAATTTATAAGTTTTGTAATACTTGATTTGTTATATAATAGCTTGAGTACTTTGAGCACATATAATTATACTAGTT